GCTGCCATCTTGGAAATATGCAAATTACGGTTACACGTGTCTGATGATAAAAATAACCTTTCCAATGTTTCTTATGGTCAAAAAGTTATAGCCATAGCCATTAGGATGGTGAACATATTGGATTGTGCTGCCATGGTCATCAGAATGCCAATCTTCGATGCCCCACTGTTGAGATGTCTTCTACATATATTAAGCTATATGTACCAAATTTGGTGCTTTTATCAGGAAATGAACAATTGATCAGCCATGCCACCCCACTATAAAAGAGACTTGATTCCTCACACTAAGTCTAAGAGGGTTAACTGCCAGCAGGAGTCTCCAGAAGATGCAGGGAAATGGAGGACAGGATCCTGCCTGAATTCAGGAGCAACCGGACAGGCAAACTAGGCGATTGCCTAGGGCCCCGAGCTGGAAGGGGGCCCCCAGAGACGGCTGACATTGGTCCATATCAATGACAATATGATGGAACCCCTATAGACACTGCAACAACGACAACACGTTGGAATCCCCCCTAATGGGGCTCCCTACTAGCTGCTGCTTGCAAGTGGCTAGAGGGGGCCTCCCAGAGACTGCTGACATTTGGTCCGTAATCAGTGACACAACTTGAAACCCCCTTAGACACTGCAACGACGACACGTTGGGAGACCTCCCTAATGGGGCCCCCTACTAGCTGACTAGCTGCTAGGGTGACCAGACGTCCCGCATTGTGCGGGACTGCACAGCATTTCCGTCTCTTTTCACGCGTCACGCAAATTGAGACCATGTCCCGCATGATTGGTTGCCACCCGTGCTAGCATTGTTGGAGTACCGTACTGTGGGATAAGTTCAAAGTCCATTCGCAAGAGGGTGAGTGTCCATGCGCTGTCCAATAACGGCACGCGCTGGCCACCTGGCACTCAATATCAATATAACAAATCATTCAGTAGCACACTGTGCGAGTACAGGTGAATCCTGCCGGTTGTGGGTTGAACGGGGGTCACAGACGGCGTATTCTTGTCAAATACGGCGCAAGATAACGGCTTACCGGCGACAGAGAAGCCCGACTCCAGGTCCAATAATTTCCTCTTTGTTGATTTCATGACTGCCCAGTAGTACCTGAACAGCCGAGCCGTGGCGGCACACAGGTATGTGATGTGTGAGAGGAGAAACGAGCCGTTCACATTTCTCTCTTACTGGCAGGTAATGGCCCACAAACCTCACCGCACTTCTTTACTTGTCAGGGGAGGAGGGTGGCTGGTTGATTTTTTATTTTTTATTTTTTTTTATTTTGATGCCCCCTATGTTCATTACTCATTGATGCTGTTTTTGAAGTATGAATAAGTCAATAAGTAATTTATTCCATTGAAATATCATTGATGTACTATAGAAAAGTGATTTATCTTTTTATAAATGACAAAAGGCACATCTGCCTCATTTTTGCTGTGGTATCGTGATACTACTCAGAACCATGATACTTTCACTGGTATCGTACAGTGGGTCCCAATTTTGGTACCGTGACAAGTCTCTGACGACTAAATTTCACACTGGGGGCGGGTGTCCCACATTGTCCCTCACAAACCTACTCCTTGTCGCATATTTGGTTTATTGGGACCTGGTCACCCTAGAGGCGGGGTGGGGGGGGGCCTCCAAGGTGCCTCTTGCCTAAGGCCCCCAGAGTGTCTTGAAACAGCCCTGCCGGACAGCGGACGCTCAATCTATTTTTAAGTAGGGTACGGTGTTATGAATCATTTTCTCTATAGTTCCTCATAAATCTATTGTGGTAGGATAACTGTTTCCATGTAAATCTTTTGTGTGTTGGAAACAAGTTTAATTTAAATTCCAGAAAAGTGGTATTGAAAGCCATGAGTGGCTATAGGCCTCTCATTGGTATTTGGAGCTGGTTGGTATGTAAAGCCTTTAATGGTATTGTAGAGCAGTTCCATGCAATCCCAGTAAAAAAGTATAAAGAATTGACAAAGAGAAAGAAAAAAAGAGGAAAAAAGGAGATTGTAAGAGGGTGGAGGAGTACTAGATAATCCTCATAGAATTAGTGTTTCACTAGCAAGGACCACGCCACAACAATATGTTGTTGTTTGTTTAATGTTTGTCTAATGTTGTAATTCCGGAGGTGATAGGTTGGTCTGGGAGGATGTACTGGAGATCGGGCAGAGGGAGACTCCTTGTGGGGGTTCTGTCTCAGGTGTTTTTTCCACCTGAGCTGATTACAGGCCCACCAGAAGATACTTAGAATGAGACATGGGAGAAGTAATCACCAGATTGAATAAGAAGAGATGAGAGGAGAAAGGAAGAGAGGATGAGGGAATGTTGGTGGGTATATGGTAGGGAGGATGATGGATGAAGGGATTGAGAAATCTGATACAGACGGAGCAGGATGGGTTGACCAGGTAGTGTCTGCCAAGTTAACACATTAACTTCATTTATTGCAAAACAAATTTTATATTTGATATAATGATACATAATTATATACTAAGTTAATATAATACATTATAGTACACCATAATAAAATGGGCATATGTCTGGGAAATACATAGAATAAGGTGGCTCATTCAGTTTCTAGTATACATACTTGCGTACACACCCCCGTGTACTAAATGGGTACGTTATTCAAAACAAATGTGTCATACAAACCACCTGGGTGAATGAGTTCCTCAAAGGTAGTGTGTGCCTGATAAGATCCAACCATACTTGTATGGAAAGATTAGTGTGACTGTGAATTTTGTGTTAATGATAAGCTCATTGAAGGTGTAAGCACATCTGTTGTTGTGAGTCAGTTCAAATATGGGGAACAAAACAGGGAAATTAAACCTTTACACAACCCTCTTTTAGGTCCTGCTAAAATAGTGGTAGGAAACTGGGGAAGCAAATGTGGTTGAGGATGTTCCACTTTGACACCATATCACCCTGGGGTTTTTCCCAATAATAGGCACATTGAGCACAGATTGGTTAAGAAGGTGTAGAGTACTGTTAGAAGAAAATGAGCAGGGAAGGAAAGTAGGGAAGAAAATTATGGATTGGCAAGCTTTTCAAAAATGGGAAAGGGAAGCTGAACTAAGCTAAGCTCAGTGGCAGGTTTAATGTTAAAACAAGAAATGAAAGATGAGAATAGGTGTGAAAGACAGACAAACAGAAACGCAGGGCAAGAGATAGGGCTCTGCCTCTGCCATATGTTCTCACTGCTCCTGGAGCCCCTCCTTGTCAAGAGGCACATGGACAAGGTATCATTGTACTCTGACCCTTCTACCCCCATCTGAAATCCAAAGAGACAATGACTATTTGTGCCTCTCACAGGAGTGTCTTTTTCCACTAGCACCATCTTTTGATCATTGGTTGCAGAGCCAAGGGGACAAAGGGGCGTGCTCCAAATGCCCATGATGGTTTTTCCCAACCCCTAGCCACAACCATGGCAGCCAGGAGGTGAAGGAGGTTGCAGAGGAATTGCCCGACCCACGAAATACTGGAAGTATGAAATAGGTCATAGCAGCACAGCAGTTAATGGCCAACCCTACAGGAAGTGGCTGTCTGTCGCAGATGTTTCAAGCTCTGATGGACCAACATTCAACCTGCCAACTGGTCCACCAGCCCATCAGTTGGATCAAGGAATTTTACCTTGATGCTGGACAGGTTGTATGAGGCGGTGTGTACCGCTTTTCCCTTGAGGGTCTGCTGACCTGAAATCCACAACACCAAGCAGAGGGAAGGAGCTGCATCTTGGCTGACTGTATTGGCTGGGAAACTGAGCCCATTGCATCTGTCTGGACACATCAAGAACAAGATCAGGGGAACTCCTGGCCACATGCACCACCTCCACGGGCCCTCTGTTCATTCTCCAGGATTGCTGTTGATGCAGCCATAGCAGGCAGTGGAGGCACAATTACACTTATGTTATTGACTGCTGAAAAAGAGGCATTGCTGTGAACAGTGCTTGATACCTTGTGGGCTCGAAGTTAGTTTGATGTTGGAAATATAAAGGGTGCAACTCTTGTTGTCCAGACAAAGGCAACTAATAGACCATGCAAAAGACAATACCCACTCAGCCCTGAGGCTATTCAAGGAATGGCTCTTGTCATTTAATCACTCATAGGATCAAGGTGCCATTTTGTAATGCCCTAATTCATCATGTAACACCTCTATCCTGCCTGTAAAGAAACCTGTTCAAGACCTCATGGTTGTAAATGAACACCCTGCCCACTGTCCCAAATGTAGCAACACTTTACCCAGGTGCCAGCAGACTCCTGTTGGTTTTCTGTTATAGATTCGGCATGCATATTTTAGCATTCCCGTTGACTCTGACTCACAGTTCTGCTTTTCCTTTCATGTTCAATGCTAAATGTTACGCCTCAACCAGAATGCCACAGGGCTTTGCCTCTAGTCTGACTTTGTTCGCATCGGCTGTGGTAGAAAACCAATTGCATTGGCAGCCAATGCATGGTAGCACACTTTTTTCAGTATGTTGATAATCTCTTTGTGTGTTCCACCACACAAGCTGACACAGTATCTCTGCTCTGCTTTTTGGCCATAAAATGGTCTCAAAAGACAAGCTACAGCTTGTTGCTCAATCAGTGCGTTATTTTGGCCATGTTATCAACAAGGAAAGGTCATAAATTGGGTCCTGACAACATCCAGGCTATCTTGGATGTTTCAAAACCACGCAAAAAGAAAAAAATGATGTCCTTTGTGGACTTAGTAGGCTGTTGCTGTCCATGAATTTGTGATTTCGCGGAGATCTCCCAACCCCTGTATGACATCACTTATGGGGGAAGACATTTGGACTTCTACAGGCAAAAACTGCTCACCTGATTCCAGCAAGGCTATTACACTGGCAAAATGTGTTACTAACTGTGTCTAATATCACCTTGAGGTATTGTACTGTCCATAACCCATGGAAAGCTTGGCATGTAACACTATTTGTATAGAGAGAATTTCACAATTAGATTCAAGATTCAGCATAACAAGGTTTCAGTTACCCCTTTGTTCTTTGTTTTTTTTCTGTTTCATTCCAGTACCAGAGGAAGTGGTTACAGTGTTGTGCTACGGCCATAGTTTGGGACTGTCATGAAGGCCAGAGCTTGTGCAAGAAGGGAGTACAGCGCCATCTTCCTCGTTCTGGCCGTGGCTGTCTTAATCTTAGTGCTACACAACATAGACGTTCTGGAGGTGAGAACCTGTTTTTAGTGGGATCAATTGAATGGTGGATCCTATTTGAAATGTTTAATGTTGGTCAGGTTTCAGGGTGTGGTTTATAAATATGTGTTTATAAATATGTGTTTCCCTGTGACTCAGGATAAGAGTAATGTTCTTCACTGTAAATAAATGCAATTTGAGTTAAATGTTATTTTTCCTCTCAGTCCTGCATTGTGAATTGCTGACAGCAGCAGCTCCTCTAGTTAGAGGATTAGGCTGACAATATTTTACACTTCCCATCTCCTGACAAGACCAAAATCATCAATGTGTTCCATTCTACTTTTCCCATCAGAGATTTCTGTATTTCTGTTTTCCTCTGTGCTCTTTTCAGTGGTTTGAATTAGGCAGGGCTCAGTCTGAACAATCTGATGCCATATACTTACATGCACCAATCGTGCACGTAAATAAATCAACATTTGAATCAAAATCTGATGACAGCTGGTGAATGTCAATCAGATCTGATCAAAAACGTTTTTTTTCACTGTTTGGTCATGAATATTTGATATTAAAGAGAAATACTTAAGAGTTGAAGCCAGGTTTTCAGGGCCTTTAATGACTCACTATCATGTAGTCAATTGTTACAGAGCTCAAAGTCAAGATCTTCTGGTAACATTTTAAGTACAGTACAAGTCTAAAGTTACCTAAAATCTTTCTGAATATTGTCAGCAATATCAAAGCAGCTTCAGGTCAAATACTCACACACTCACATCAAAAAGAAACTGGAGTGGATTGCAAAACTAACACAATTATGAAAACTGCTTCTGACCCTAGATTCAATATTAATAAATGTTTTTATTTTTATTTTTATTTTGTTAATATAACAAAGTCTGAGTAAAAGATTCTGCACACTTTAGTCCTGTTTTCACCAAACATTTTCAGTATGGTACCTTTGGAACCAAAAGTAGCCTTCAGACATGGTACCTCGACCCTAGCATTTCCACCTTTAAATGTTGGCGGAGTTGTTGTCACTCACTGCTCTGTCCAGTACTCACTGTATTTCCTTATTATTGGTGACAAAGATGGAAGTCTGTGCCTCGTTTGTTGTCCACAAAACAAGGCTGCAGTCCAACATACTCTGAATAGGGCTGTCAATCGATTAAAAGAAATTAACTAATTAATCGCACAATTTTCTGTAATTAATCGCAATTGATTGCGAGATAGATTGATTGTGTTTAATCACATTTTGCTACTTAAGACTGAAGCTTGTAACGGATATTTATTTATGCAAAATCATGAAGTTAATGCAGAATAAACACAAATAATGTATATTTAAATTCAAATACTATTTTAATAGCTTTCTTTAAACTTTAAACACACATGAGGTCAGAGCTAGAACAGAGAAAATACAGGTGGACACACACACATATATATATATATATATATATACAGTACAGGCCAAAAGTTTGGACACACCTTGTCATTCAATGCGTTTTCTTTATTTTCATGACTATTTACATTGTAGATTCTCACTGAAGGCATCAAAACTATGAATGAACACATGTGGAGTTATGTACTTAACAAAAAAAGGTGAAATAACTGAAAACATGTTTTATATTCTATTTTCTTCAAAATAGCCACCCTTTGCTCTGATTACTGCTTTGCACACTCTTGGCATTCTCTCCATGAGCTTCAAGAGGTAGTCACCTGAAATGGTTTCCACTTCACAGGTGTGCCTTATCAGGGTTAATTAGTGGAATTTCTTGCTTTATCAGTGGGGTTGGGACCATCAGTTGTGTTGTGCAGAAGTCAGGTTAATACACAGCCGACAGCCCTATTGGACAACTGTTAAAATTCGTATTATGGCAAGAACCAATCAGCTAACTAAAGAAAAACGAGTGGCCATCATTACTTTAAGAAATGAAGGTCAGTCAGTCCGGAAAATTGCAAAAACTTTAAATGTGTCCCCAAGTGGAGTCGCAAAAACCATCAAGCGCTACAACGAAACTGACACACATGAGGACCGACCCAGGAAAGGAAGACCAAGAGTCACCTCTGCTTCTGAGGATAAGTTCATCCGAGTCACCAGCCTCAGAAATGGCAAGTTAACAGCAGCTCAGATCAGAGACCAGATGAATGCCACACAGAGTTCTAGCAGCAGACCCATCTCTAGAACAACTGTTAAGAGGAGACTGCACGAATCAGGCCTTCATGGTCAAATAGCTGCTAGGAAACCACTGCTAAGGAGAGGCAACAAGCAGAAGAGATTTGTTTGGGCCAAGAAACACAAGGAATGGACATTAGACCAGTGGAAATCTGTGCTTTGGTCTGATGAGTCCAAATTTGAGATCTTTGGTTCCAACCGCCATGTCTTTGTGAGACGCAGAAAAGGTGAACGGATGGATTCCACATGCCTGGTTCCCACTGTGAAGCATGGAGGAGGAGGTGTGATGGTATGGGGGTGTTTTGCTGGTGACACTGTTGGGGATTTATTCAAAATTGAAGGCACACTGAACCAGCATGGCTACCACAGCATCCTGCAGCGACATGCCATCCCATCCGGTTTGCGTTTAGTTGGACCATCATTTATTTTTCAACAGGACAATGACCCCAAACACACCTCCAGGCTGTGTAAGGGCTATTTGACCAAGAAAGAGAGTGATGGAGTGCTGCGGCAGATGACCTGGCCTCCACAGTCACCGGACCTGAACACAATCGAGATGGTTTGGGGTGAGCTGGACCGCAGAGTGAAGGCAAAGGGGCCAACAAGTGCTAAACACCTCTGGGAACTCCTTCAAGACTGTTGGAAAACCATTTCAGGTGACTACCTCTTGAAGCTCATGGAGAGAATGCCAAGAGTGTGCAAAGCAGTAATCAGAGCAAAGGGTGGCTATTTTGAAGAAACTAGAATATAAAACATGTTTTCAGTTATTTCACCTTTTTTTGTTAAGTACATAACTCCACATGTGTTCATTCATAGTTTTGATGCCTTCAGTGAGAATCTACAATGTAAACAGTCATGAAAATAAAGAAAACGCATTGAATGAGAAGGTGTGTCCAAACTTTTGGCCTGTACTGTATATATATATGTAGAGAGAGAGAGAGAGAGCACACAGACACATACAGGACAGGGAGGGAGAGAGGGAGGGAAACACACACACTCACGATAAAAAGCACACACACACACACACACACACACACGCAGAGGAAAAACAAGAAAGAAATAACTTACCTGCAAGGTTCAAGTAGTTCCTCCAGCTTTTGCAGTTTGGCAAGCTCCTGGTCAGTCAACATGGCAACCTTGCTGTTTTTCTGCGCCAGGGTGGTGGTCAGCGGAGATTTGTTTCTCTGGATCTGCTTGACCATTTCTATGATGGAATTCCATCTTGTTGGAACATCCTGAGCGAGTGATTCTTCCTTATGTCCGTGTGAAATTTGCTGTTCCATTAATTCCTGAGCGTTTGATGGACTATGCTTAAAGTGCCTGACAATCTTGTGACATTTGGCCAGAGCACTTTCAAATCCACTGTCGTTAAGGGAAACTGTGACCGTTCTTTGCAGAATGTGGGCCGTGCAGGGCAGATGTTCAAATGCACTTCTACTGTGCTAGTTAGCTGGCAGTTTTTAGCTATCCAAGTAACCAAGGAATTTGTCAATTTTTCACTCACAGGTTTCGTTATTTGCCCACGAGCACCACACTCCTGCAGTGTGGACTGGCGAGGCCCCGTAGAGGTGGATTCAGCAGGGTTGCAAATTGTGCAAGTAACTCTTGTTTTGTCCAACGAGCCGCCAGGCAACTTCTTAAAGTGAAATGTCCTTATCCATCTTTGTGCTGTCGGGTCTTTGCGACTGTCCTTTAGCCATGATAGCGCGGTTTGGCTGCTCATGTGATCAAAGGTTATGGGTCAGCCGCCACAGGAATTAAACAAAACTGCATTAATTGCGTTCATTTTTTTTAATGCGTTAAATGTTTTATATTAATCTCCTAAATTAACAAGTTAATTTTGACAGCACTAATTCTGAACAAAACAAAACAGGCTGCAGTGAGAGTCTCTCTTAACGGGATATTCAAAAATAGCGGGTTTGTGCACTTAGTCCTTCTCAGGCAAGCTCAGGGGTTGAGCGTTGCCATAGCTCAACACTATGCGCCCCTTTTTTTTCCCTGAGGATTGGGATATATGCAGATATGTAGATACAGTACAGGCCAAAAGTTTGGACACACCTTCTCATTCAATGCGTTTTCTTTATTTTCATGACTATTTACATTGTAGATTCTCACTGAAGGCATCAAAACTATGAATGAACACATGTGGAGTTATGTACTTAACAAAAAAAGGTGAAATAACTGAAAACATGTTTTATATTCTAGTTTCTTCAAAATAGCCACCCTTTGCTCTGATTACTGCTTTGCACACTCTTGGCATTCTCTCCATGAGCTTCAAGAGGTAGTCACCTGAAATGGTTT